CTCCTCCTCCTCCTCCTCCTCCTCCTCCTCCATTCCACAAATCCCTCTCCCTTCTAGCACTGATGATGTTCTCTAGTTGGGCCATGAAACGTTCCGCAAGAAAACAGCCAAGCTCGGAGAGCATCAGGGACCCTTCCGACGAGAGAGGCAGCGGAAACAGACTGAAACCGACAAGGACTAAAGATTCCCCACCATCAAAGCCCAAATGGCTCCTCCTTCCAACCCTCCCACGTCCCCCTTTCGTAACGAAGCCACTGACCCACACGCTCTTCTGAACCATCTTCGTCGCCTTGAGTAGCATCTGCCCAAAGTCTCCCAGCCTAAAATGGGTGGCCGAGTGCTGGATGCAGAGACACAGCAAGAAGGCCGGGGTCAACTTGTGGTCATCTCCGGTGGGATCGATGAGGGTCATGATCCTTCTCAGCAGGAGGTCTTCGTTGGCCTTGTCAAATTCCAGCTGCAGCTTCCTCCGGCTGCTCTTCCGGCCGGAGGAGGGCTGGGCCTCTTGCTTTTTGGAAGAGGAGGCTTTGTCTTTGAAGTGGGCGCCACACATCTTGCAGGGGGTCGATGACAACAGCTCGGGAGCCCGGCGCATGGCCTTCAGCTTCACCAGCGTCTGGGTGGGCAGCAGCTGAGTTTTGAGCGGGTCCTTGTAGAGGAAGAGGTAGGAGAGGCCGAGGGAGATGAGGTCGCCGTGACGGAGCACCGCCGTCTTCCGCACCTCGGAGAAGTTGATGGAGACGCTGGCGCCCGGGATGGGTTCCAAGATGAGCTTCTCCTCGGAGCGGTGGCGAGAACGGGTGGGCAGCTTCGCCCGCCGGATGGAGCAGTGGAGAGGAAGGATGTCGGGCGCCGAGAGGCTAATGCTCGGCTTGCTGGATTGAGTCCGTTGGCCAACGGTGTGTTGCTCGCGGTTCAAGAGGTACACCAGCCTGTCCTGCGGAGTTCAACACACAAGCAGGTAGAAAGGGCCGAGCTTGGGGCCAACCTGTTCTGAGTTGGGGGGGGGACCCTCGTGCCAAGTTTGGGGGGAAGGACATCTCTTTCCCGGTCCAACAAGAGGGCTACTCAAAGCAACGGAGAAGTTCCCTCCTCCATACAGATGGAGGATTCACAGGCTGGGATGGTGGACATCTCCTGGGTTTAGGGTGGGAGGGGATGCTGGCCAAGGAGGGAGGTGATTAAGAAGACTGGCAAAGTTATGGATCTAGAGAATAGCAGGACAGGAGAGGAGCCTGGCTGGGAGACATGGGAGTTGTAGTTGTTCTCTTCAGGAAGAAATCTAGCGATGGGATTATTGTTGCAGTCTAGGGAGCTCCGGAACGGGGGACTATCCTACCCACAACCATGAATCATGCCCATGGCTTTACAACACAGGTGAAGGGTGGCTGGGGATAATGGGAGGTGGCAATCTAAGGCATCTAGCAGGAGGGCAAATTGAAGAAAGCTCCTTGGCAGGGGTGAAATTCAAAAAAATTTACTACCTGTTCTGTGGGTGGGGCTTGGTGGGCGTGGCAAGGGAAGGATACTGCAAAATCCCCATTCCCTCCACACTCCAGGGGAAGGATACTGCAAAATCCCCATTCCCTCCCCACTCCAGGGAAAGGATACTGCAAAATCCCCATTCCCTCCCCACTCCAGGG